CCCTTTGGGCAGCAAAAATGCAGCCAAGACTTTACTCATTTCATTTTTAATGTTTATTATATGTACCAGAAATGATTGACCCCCGAGTTCCTAGAGAAATGGCAGTTCGAGAAAGAGTGTAATTAAGTAATATGTAATAATAAACAATAATAATTTCTTCAAGTTGTTACTTTTTATTTATTTGCCTACCTACCTACTTTATTGTAAACTCGAAATATTTTTAATTTAATGTCCTTATTCAATAAAGACTAAATTAATAACTAAATAATCGATAAACACTGAATAATCACAGACATGAAGTTTCTCATGAAAGGTATTATCTTTCTAGGCTATCGATATTATTTTCTCCTCCCTAGGCGATAATAATATCGATAACACCTCTAAAAGTTACAGTCTATATACACGTCTCACACTGCTGGGTACAGGCCTCCTCTCATTTCTGAGAGGGTTTTAGGGCAAGGAAAAGTCCGTCGCGCTGCCCCAATGCGTGTTGGCGAACTTCACATGTCTTCGAAATATATTTTTTTTTCTTATTTGTCAGACATGCAGGTTTCCTCACGATGTTTTCCTTCACCGCTGAACACGTGGTAAATCAGCACTTAAAATTGCAATTAACAATTTCATTTGTGCCGGCGGGGACCGAACCCGGGTTTCTCGCGTACCTACTGTGAAACTTATAGCGAGCGCTAACCATCTGTGCTACCACACCACCCCTAACATCATGCACACATACAATATGCCCCTGCCCCCGACCCGTATCGTGCGATAGAGAGAATTGCAAGTTTTGAAGACAATTGCCTACATTTACTTTTTGAAATATTGTTTACGGCGATAACGTTTTTACCCCCTAAAACTTTACAAAATAAGACAATTTTGGTCTTATTAGATTCAGTACACTTCAATCTAGGCCTGTACGTTTTACTTTTTTAGTAATCAGTTTAATTTAATTAAAAAAGAATAAAAACGCTCGAAGAATTTTTAAAGTCAAAAATATAGATATTTAGATGCTAATAACTTATATTGTATACAATATTTCTTTAAAATGAAAACGTACGGGCCTAGTTTTATATATCTACAACATTTCCAAAAATTATTAAAATTGGACTATATTTACGGGGGGGGAAAACGTTATCGCTTTTTGTATGAAAATTTATAGCTTCACAATCCTCTTAAGCTATGCCAATACTCGTAGGTTTAATCTTTTCCACTACCCGACACAAGTGTGCACGACATAAATTTGTAAATAACTCCGTATATCTACCTTCACGATGTCGGTGCTTAACGTTATTAAATTTTCCATTTATTATTAGAAATATATATCCGCATTCGGCCGGTTACATTTTAATAATTTAGTTATCGAGTTTGTTTTTAATATTTTATAGATATGCGGCCAAATAATCAATTACATCTTACGACTAAGAATGAACTACAAAGGGAAATTAAATATAACATTAGATGAATGAATGGTAATCTGCAAATAAAAAAAAACTGTGCTGCCGTTCAACTGTTAAAGCTTTTACAGGAATCGTTTGCCGGTGGGAATTTCTTCGTAACTACGTCATATTCTTCCATTATGGAATTATCCTAACATTTTGTACGGTAAAAATTAGATATCGGTATAATAACAATATCGGTTTATATTTCACACCGATATACTTACACAATACAACAAAACCAAACATAAAAGTGCACAACAAAGCCAACCACTACTCCCGCGAGTATTATCAATCATATTGCTGGATCTTTAAATTGTATGATATTTGATAATTTAGTACCCAATTTTTTGACCGCGTAGGTTCTTACACCGAAAAATATCCACTACTACACATCGTCCCGTGTGTCGTAAGAGGCGGCAGAGGGAAACAAACTCGGAGACGGGTAGCAGCGTCTTCTTAATAACAACTAAAAGTTAAAAACCTGTGGTTGCTATGTATGATAACTGTGGCAAAATTTCCCTCTATGAAGAGATATAAGGGGGAGGCCTATGAGGCCAATGTTCAACAGTGGACTCTGGCGGCGTAAGAACATCGTTTAACTTATTTCGCTCGTTCGTCTCTAATCCACCACTGTGCGATTTAGAAGATGTTTTCTTCCTCGCACGACCTCCTTGTGGAATCGATTACCATCAGCGATTTTTCCGGACCGATACGACTTAGGGACCTTCAAGAAAAGAGCGTACTCCTTTTTAAAAGGCCGGCAACGCATCTGCGATTCCCCTGGTATTGCAGTTGTTCATGGGCGGCGGTAGTCACTTACCATCAGGTGAGCCGCATGCTCGTTTGCCCCCTCTCCTATATAAAAAAAAAATGTGAGGCGGGGGAAAAATGTCAGGAAGATATAATGGCCTTCAACATAATATGGTAATAAAATTAATTAAATACTTTTTAGTCTGTTATACCTAAATAAATATTTAAAAATTATAATATAATATATATAATTGTAAATAATAAAATAAAAAATAAATAATGCGGTAATACTTTTATATAATAACTATGATAAAAATTATATTTATATAAAATAATCTAATGTTTCCTATTTATTTATAACCGTGCGTTTGGACCAAAAACATCCAACCAATCCATGTTTCAAAACATATTGTATTATATCAGACACACAACACGCTTTCGTGATGCATGCATTTGCACTCCACGAAACTGTAAATTTTGCGACAATTTTTAAGAATTGTTGATGTTTGCATTTGCAATAAATAAAATTAAATAATTAAAACAATATATTATAATTTATACCACGTTTGACATTGGATCCGTCAAGTTTTAGGTTCGCACTGTTGCTTGATTTGTTTTGCAATTTCTTTTGATATGAATACTTCTTTAAATTTGCTTGGAGGCAATTCAGAAAACTGATGATAACAAAATGTCACCAAACTGTATCCATAAGAGAATGCAGTTTGGACTACTCAATAGCTAACGGATCACAGCGCGCACGGCGAAGGGGAGAGTGCCTGCATTTTGAGGTTCTTGCAGGTATTCACGTAAACACACGGCCGTGACCACTACAAAGTCACACCCCGATTTCTATGCCTATTTTTGATGTTATCCAAAAAGTTCCACGTGCACGACAGAATCAAAGGTGCAGGCAAATTAGCACAAATAGTGGGTCTCCATCGCGTAACTCTTCCCTGATTACATTTCATCATATTTCATAGGTAACTTGGTAATTTAATATTATGATTTATTAGCATGGAATGTTTTAATTAAATAATGTTTAACTAATCTATTTTATTTGCAAATAAGAATAATTATTAGTTAAGTCTTGTTTACCCATATGAGAAATTATTTCATGCATAAAAATAAGATAATTAAAGTAATTGATATTCTATATTAAAATGACCCTGTTGTTACCTCCCATGGCGTTTAGACGGTTCAAGCAGTCTCCGACTAGTTTGAGTTCACCAAGTTTGATCTCAGCGCTTGCTGCTTGAGTATCAGAGTTAATAAAGATTATATGGTTAACTTGGTGTTATTGCAGATTGATTTCCGCACACTAAAGAACGGCTCAATTTTTTCCTGGAATATAGAGGTGAATGTACCCAAAATAATACTAAGTTTGAATTTGGGGCCTTCCCTTTAAATTCCAAAGCTTACGTCGAGGCCCAATTTTGACCCTACTGTATACCATATAAGGCTACCGACCTCACAAATGACCAGTCCATTCAACCAGTTTTCTCTGCAGGATACTTCCACTGTACTCTTTTTTAAAAACATATAGTGGATGCATGATATCTGATATCATGCATAAGACCGGTATTTCCTTAATTGAGTCGAGCATGGATTTCAATCTACAGGAAAGCAAGCTCAAATCGCCCTGAGCGTTATTCTTAAAAAAAAAACTAGCCTTTGCCTCCTTCTTTTAGTAAAGATCGAGAGCATTAGGCCTAGAAGTGCATTTAGAGCGGTTTCAGGCAATTATCGCATCGCTCAATTTGCCATTAAGCAGGCAGTCCTTTGTAGACTATTTAGGCTATCGGCAGTCAATTATTTATTCATTTATGCTTTATTTGCACACCAAGTACAAAAAGGCGGACTTAATGCAACAGGGCATTCTCTACCAGTCTACCTCCAGGCTAAGCAGAGAAAATATTGTGGGTGCAAAGTGCAAACAGCTAAGTAAATAACATCTATGTCTACATTATACATACAGTATATATACATATATAAACATAAATATATATAAATACATACATACAAATATTTACTTAATACTACTTATTATACAAATCTTTTATATATGTATATATCTTTTATATATATACATAATTAAATATAGCAGTTTCTGATTCAAACTCCAATAACAAATGTAAAAATGAAATGGAAAACCACAAACTACTCCTGCAACGTTAGATAGTAATTCCAGAGCAAGCGTTTGAACGATGCCTTGCTCGTGGCTGCGCGTACTCTGCCCGGTAACTCGTTCCATAATCTTACCGCATGAGAAGTAAAAGATTTGTGTAAAAAGCTAGTATGACAGAGGGAAGATTTTTCCGTAGAACGGAGACATCGATTATGGGTATCACCTTGATACTGAAATTTGCATTTCACATATTCAGGGACAAACGGATCGTGTAAAACTGAAAATAACGTGCACAGTATTCTGAAATGTCTGCGATAGCGGAGAGGTAGCCATTTTAGCTGTGAAATATAAGAAAAAAATGTGGTCGTATTTACGTAAACCGAAAATGAAGCGTATGCAATTATTGTGAAGTCGATCCAGTTTGTTTAGAAGTTCTTGTGAGGCATCAGCCTAGCAAACATCTGCATAATCTAGAATAGGCAACACTAAAGTTTGTATTAGCATTGCCTTAGTCCCTAACGGTAAAAAATTCTTGAGAGGATACAGATGACGCAGAGTGTTAGTGACCTTTTTGCTCACTTCATATATATGCGGTCGCCAGCTGAGGGTGTTGTCTATAATTAAGCCAAGGTTTTTTAACTGTTGTTGAGTAAGGAACAATAACATTATTAAAATTTAATGGGAGGTAACTACTTCATATCAATTTTAGTCAGTCTACGAGAACTACCAACTACAATAGCCTGACATTTTGATGGATTAACCCTAATGCCAAATCTATTTGACCAATTAGAAATACAATTGAGATCACAGTTGAGCTTCTCAATCACATCATCGATAAATGCCACCTCAGCTTGAGCATAAATTTGTAAGTCATCAGCATACAGATGGTACGAACGGCGAATGTGGGGTGTAATGAGATTTATAAAGACTGAGAACAAGAGAGGAGAGAGAATTCCGCCTTGAGGAACGCCAGCAGACAACGGGCACCAATCAGAGATAATCTGACCTACTCGAATTACCTGCTGACGACCCCGAAGATATGAGGAGAACCAGCCCCGCGCTGACGAAGAGAAACCTAGGTGGTAAAGTATAGTTAGAAGAATATCATGATCGACAGCATTAAAAGCGTTAGAGAAATCTATTAGGATTAACACTGTCAATTTTGAGTTCTCCTTTCCAGTACGCAAATCTTCCGTAACTTTCAAAAGAGCTGTGGTAGTACTGTGCCCCGGCCTAAAACCAGATTGATATGTGCTGAGAAAGTTATTTTTGAAAATGTAACTAGAAATTTGTTTGTGGACAATAGCTTCAAGAACTTTAGATAAAAACGGGAGAATCGATATTGGGCGAAAGTGAGAAAAAGTACTGGGGTTCTTTATTTTGGGCAGCGGCATGACAAATGCTTTTCTCCAAAGTGAAGGAAAATCCCCAGACAATAGTGATTGGTTAATGATGTGAGTAATAATAGGAGTAACATAGTCTAGAATTAAGGTGATCATAAGTCTGTTCACATCATCGAAGCCAACTGCCATAGACTTAATACAATAAATGGTATTTTTTATATGCTCATCAGCAATGGGAGAAAAGTTAAATGTGCAGTTATAAGATTGTGGCATGGAATGCAAATAAAAAATGGTACTTGATTTAACAGAGGCCTGCAATTGGGTAAATGAAGAAAAATGTAAATTGAGATCACTCTCAGCTCTTGCTGCAGAGCGAAAGTTTTAGACTCCGTATCCTCACCAGAAACAACATCATCGACAAATACGTCATTCAATAATACAAGATAAGCGAGCATAAAATGATTAGCATCATCGTGAGCTAACAATTGTACGCAAAGCGAGATATAGTGAGGAATTTACAACGAATGTGACCGTGCGGAGGCGTTAGTCCCATATAGGTTCTTTTGGAGATTTACGCCACAAGATGCGCTAGAATTCCCTATCCGTTTCACGAATCAGTATACTTCGATACATTTGCTCAATATCCGCAGTGAACGCTACGCTATGAACACGAAACTTTTACTAAGTTGTTTCGCTCGATTCTTTAACTACACAGTGGTGTGGAATATAACAGCTGACACCTTGCAAAGACTCACTATCAACGTGCTCTATATGATTCAGGTCCTCATCCTCCTGGACGCAGGTGTGGTAATCAGTTTTCAGCAGGGCGTTGCGTTCCAATCTATACTCAAATTTTCTAAAGCGAGTCAATGCAATTTGCCGTGACTCGCAAAGGCGCGAAGCTTTGGGTTTGAACGACATGCCAACTACGTACCGTCCTGTCTCGTCCCATGTATGCATATTTCGAAAAAATGGATTTGCATAGCTTCGCGTTAGGAGTCTAAGTGCGTTTCTCAGGAAATGATTCCAGCTCCCAAAATCTTTGAATATTGTCGTTGTCAAACGAGCTAAAACATACTTGGAGTTGAGTAGAAACGATTGGATCGAACGTTATTTTACCTAATAATAAATATTCTAGCACGCTATTCATCGCAGTCAGTGACGCAGGAGATCTAGTAATCATATTACCTAATAAAATGTGGGATAGTATATCCGCTCCTAGTAACATTTCTACCGTTTGGGTTGTATGAAAGTCGGGGTCAGCTAAGTATATTTTTTTTTAAATTTGGCCATCCTGTAAATTGCAGAGATTCACTGGGCATTTTTGTAACAAATTTTTGCTAAATTAATGCATCAACGGGTACAACGGGCTTCTGTTTACCTTTTAAACATGAAACTATACCTTTAGGTTGCACAGGATCGATATAGCTTATGCCAAAAACCGGAATATTTATATATTTAGGTGCTAAGCCTAAACGTTGTACATAGGCCCCTTTGATAAAAGACGCCTGGCTTCCCGTGTCTACAATACATTGAGCGGTTGATATCATTGACTCACCAACGTAAATATTAACGAGTGCCGTAGATAAAAGGACTGTATTAATACGAAGTAAAGGCGCATTGGACGCGCAATTATTATGCACTGCGCTGCTGTTCGCTGGTAAGGTAAGAGGTGACTCAGCCATGATAACACTTCTTCCCTCTTTCTTAATGTCTCTTCTACACTACTCGCAAAGTAATTTTTGACGAAGTGCTCGTCGAAGTCGATCGCAGTTCGAAGAACTTGACTACATACTCGTACTAATTCGCGAAGAGCTCAGTCGTCATGAGTCACCCGCACCCTTAACATAAATAACGTTTAAGAGGCAGCTGCTATAGGTACCTAATTGTGTGAGCAGTACGACGTCAATGCGTTAACCATATATAAATAATTATATAGAAATCTATATATTTAATATTTAAATATAAAAATATTAATATGTAACTGGTGTACTTCGTGTAACTTCGGGGCTACATCGCGAAGTCCTTTAACTCCTGCGCAAAATACCGACAGCGATCGGAAGTCGCCCGAGGCGAAGCGAGGTTGCAGGAAGCGAATAAAAGTACCTGTCTACACTATTCTCCTTGCCCAAATTTGATCAACTTCGCAAGTAGTGTAGAGGGGCCATAAGAGTGATCTGCATAGCACAATCAGCCGCCGCCGTTTCGCTAATGACCGATAACGATTGCGTTGAAAAATGAATTAATGTATGATGTCGTTTATAACACGAACGGCAAACGAAATTTGATTTACAATTCTGAACTTCTTGCCCAACGTGTAAGCAATTAAAACAGATGTTTTTATTTTGCTCGAATGAATATCTATCTTGTGGAGAAAGATTTAGAATCTGTGAACATTTTGTAAATATATATTCACCGTTGCAATGTAAACAAGTCTAACCTTATTACCATTACTTTTAGATCGAGACTGTTCTATGGGACCATTAAGGTTAGTAATCAAAGAGCGTCGAGCCGTATGCACCGTAACGTTGCTTGTGTTGTTGCTCTGGCCCGATAATTTTTCTGAACTACCCACATTTGACGATGGTTTCTTAGCGGACTATACGTTTTAAATAGTAGAAATAGTTCGTCAGCGGAAATTTGCCGTCCGAGAAAAGAAATTAACGTGCATACGTCTGGAATTTCGGATGGCTTACTTAATGAACGTTCGGATGTTCTTTTAATAGTGAGTGGAATTTCACACAACAAAATATTTAATAGTATAAAACTCCATTGAGTTATTGGAAAAATTTATAACTTCAAGCGCTTTCATATTCTCGTGATATATATTTAGTAAATTTCGTACATTATGAATTAATCTACCGGAACAAGGTTCAATATCCAGAATTTTGTCAAACTGTTTTGATGCAATAATTATTTTATTATCATAACGCGACACTAACATATCTACGGCTACAAAGTAATTTTCATCGGTGATAGTAATAGCTTTAATAAGATTATGTGGCTCGTTTTAACTGCAAGTATTAAGTATCTAAACCTTTCCGCATTACAGTAAGCGCTGTTGTTATGTAATAGTGAAAAAAATAAGTCTTAAAACGACGGCCAATCGGTTGGATCACCGTTAAATTCTGGCAATAGCAATATCCCAACAAAAACAGTTTCACTGTAAAGCATCGCGCCAAGTACACTTTCAACTATAGTTACAAAAATAATAATTACATTTTTACAAAAAATTATAAATTAAAAAGAAACCAAGTACATAACCGTTGTAGATTCAAAAATGTGATGATGATTAAGAGTATCGATCACCCAACTTGACATTGGAAGTCGTTTTTTTTATATCTTTTTTTAATTATGCTCGTACTATAAAGTATAATGCACAACAAGTACATAATTTTTTATTATTATTTTTTTCAGCAAAATTTTTTTCGAACTTGGTTTTTTACTTGGTTTCTTTTTATTTTATAATTTTTTGTAAAAATGTAATTATTATTTTTGTAACTATAGTTGAAAGTGTACTTGGCGCGATGCTTTACAATGAAACGGTTTTTGGTCGGATTTCATATCTATTTGTAAAGTACACAATTTCTTTTTTTCTTTCAAATATCGCACTCATACCGCGAAGCAGTTGAGTTTGTGCTTTACTCTCAACACGACAAGGTCAAGAAAATTTTTGCTCTTTAACTACCTCTACAACTAATTTGCACTCATAAGATAATATGAGTAGATTTATTTCAAGAAAATTTAAACAATCTATCTCATATTTTGTATAAATCAATTTTAATTTTGCTATTTTAAGAAAACCGAAAAAAAATTTCGTGGACGTCCGGATTTTTTTTGCATGGTCACGATAACTGTCGAAAAATTTAATGTATCGAGACTAGGTTTTGTTTATTTTTTTAAGAATTATATTAAATAGGTACTTATTCCATAAAAATAGTGATGTTTTTTATATAAAAAACTCTCCATTCATTATACAGTCAACTTAGGAATAAAACTTTAACTATGAATTTCAATGTAACTCTGAATAAAACTCTACTAACAATTAAATATGGCTGTGTAATGTGACGCATCAACAAATTGTAAAGCAGTGTACTATAAAGAATTATAATCATTTGATACCGAAATAAATGAAAACATGGCTTAAAAGACAAGCAACAAAGTTAACAATCTTTAAAAAGATAAATAATTTGGCCAAAATTATAAAATACTTTTTAAATAAAATACTACAACAGGTGATGCGGCTTTGCGAGTTGCAGAGCAACCCGCACACGTAGATGCCGCTGTAGATCGCCTTGTGGTTGACTCAGGCGACGATGGAATAGTCGTCCAGGAACAAGAGCAAATTAGGAGCGTATTGGAAGGGGCGATTAGGGAAACGCGCAGTACGCCTCTCGAGAATCGACCGCGACTTCCCCGTATACACCTAAGCAAGCGGAATCGGGCTGTCGTGAGGGCTCTCAACCCAATGCTGGTGACTTATTTGGAAGCCAGCCGGGACCTTTGCGACACGGACTCAATTCTTTTTGGCGCCGCACTGGCAGTTTGCCGTATTATTGGCGCCAAACTTCCCACGGCTGGACGCGCTACTAGACACAGTAACACCATCCCAACCTGGAGAAGAAGGATTGAGGACCGTATCGTAAAGACAAGGGCCCTCATGGGCAGACTGATAAGCTTCAGATTGGGCAAAAATAGGCCGAGAGTTGTGCGCACCGTCAGGATGGCGTTTGCTGGGACAAACATCAGTTTGTCCCAGCCGGATATAACGCAAAAACTGACGGAGCCCATAGACGACTTGAAGCAGAGAATCGCTGCTTGGGGGATGCAGATTCGGCGATATACCGAGATATCGACACGGTTCGTCCAGAATCGTCTCTTCCAGGGTGATCAGAAGAGGCTCTATGAATCATTGGAACGACCAATGGTACGTGGAACGAGCCCAGCACCGAATCAGGTCGACACTATCGCATTCTGGCGCGGCCTGTGGTCAGAGCCCGTAAACCACAGCGAGGGCCCTTGGAAGGAAGTTGTGGCGACTCAGTGTGCGAATGTTACGCTCATGGACCCCGTCATCATAACGCCGGATGACGTAGCTGAGGCGGTTGTAGGGCCCCAAACTGGAAAATTTCGGGACTCGACGGAATGCATCACTA